CTATGCCTTTGAATTTGTAAAGACTTGTTTTGTGCCCTATTACGTGCTCAATTTTTGAGAAGGTACCATGCTGGAGTGAGAAAAAAAGTATATTTTGTGGGTTTTGGGTGCAAAGTTCTATAGATATCTGTCAGCTCCACTGATTTATGGTATCATTTAGGTCCTGAATCTCTTCGCTTATTTTTTGTCTCATTGATTTGTCTAAAGATGATAATGGGGTGTTGAGGTCCCCAGCAATTAGTGTGTTACAGTCTGTTTCTCCTTTTAAATCTAGCGGTCTTTCCTTCACATATCTGGGTGCTCTTACATTGAATGCATAGATATTAATAAGCACTATTATCTTCTTGATGAATTTGCCCTTTTGCTATTATATAATGCCCTTCTTTGTCTCTTCTTATAGTTTTTGCCTTAATGCCTATTTTGTCTGAGATCAGTATCGCGACTACTGCTTTTTTTGGTTTCCATTTGCATGGAATATCTTTTTCCAGTCTTTCACTTTTAGCTTATGTTCATCTTTATTCATGAGGTGCTTTCTCGTAAGCAGCAGATGGAGGGTTTCTGGCTTTTTTTATTCATTCACCCCGTCTTTCGGTTTTGTCTTTTGATTGGAGAATTTAAACCATTAACATTCAATATTATTATTGATATTTCTGGACTTGTCAAGTTGGCCATTTTTTTGGTTGTTTTTTGTTCTCTTTTGTTCTGTCTGTCTTTAGTTTTCTTGGTATAGCACTCCCTTCAGAATTTCTTGAAGAGCTGATCTGGAGTTGATTAATTTTTTCAGGTTTAGTTGATTCAACAATTTTTTTATCTCTTCTTCCCATATGAAAGATAATTTTGCTGGGTATAGTGTTCTTGCTTGAAATTGTCTTTCATTTAACACTTGGAATATATTTCCCCATTCTTTTCTTGCTTGCACTGTTTCTGATGAGAGGTCCAGTGTTAGGCTGATGAGATAACCTTTGTAAGTTAGTTACTTGACGTTTCTCTCTTGCCACTTTTAGAATCTTGTACTTTGTGATTTTGGCCAGTCTGGCAATGATGTGCCATGGAGAAGATCTTCTTGGGTTGATTCTATTTGGTGCCCTTTGTATTTCTTGGGTCTGGATGTTTGAATGCTTCTCTAGGCTTGGGAAGTTTTCCTTCAGGATTTCATGGAATACATTGTCAATGCCCTTACTAGTTTCTTCACCTTCTGGGATACCATTTATTCAGATGTTTGGATGTTTAACAGAATCTGGTATTTCTCGTATATCCTCCCTCCCTCCCTCTCTCTCTCTCTCTCTCTCTCTCTCTCTCTCTCTTTTGTTTTTTGTTTTTTAGTTGTCTTCTCTATCTTTTGGTGGTGTTTTTCTAGGTCAGAGGTTTTGTGTTCTATTTCAGAGATTCGATATTCTACATGATCTAAACTGCTTTTTATACTTTCAAGAGAGGTTTTGATTTCCTATATTATAGCCTTCATCTCTAACAGCTCCATTTGGTTCTTTTTTATGGTGTCTATTTCTTCATTCAAATCATAGAAGGACTTCCTCATCTCCTCTTCTTTTCTCTTACATCTCATTAAGTTTTGCCACTGTGAATATTCTGAATTCTTTATCTGACATTTTCACGCATTTCATTGTGCTTTCGGTAGATGACGAATTGTTATTCTCCATTAAGGGAGAGATATTTTCTTGGTTTCTCATATTTCTTGTGACTTTGAGCTGGTTTCTGGTCATCTGATGGATTGTATGTTTTTCCTGTCCACCTGTCCTCTTTTTTTTTTTTTTTCACTGTAGGGCGCGTGCGCTCGCCAGACAGACAGAGAGAGCCATAGAGACAGAAAGCGAGAAATCACCCCCCAGGGGGGATGGTCACGCCGCAATCCCTTCTCCTCCATTCTCCTCTCGGGATCCTGGGCACGCACGCACACGCGCCCGGCGTGAGTTTTAAGCCACCGGGTCCAGGACACGAACCGCGGTCGACTATGTGGGAGTCCAGCGACATAGCCATTACGCTAACTGCTGGTTCCCTCCACCTGTACTTTTGTTGCTGGGACTGCGTATTGTAAATCCCTCCCAGATTCTAGAGAACAGATGCACCTTGAACTGAACCTCAGGGTCTCAACTGAGGAAGAAAGTAAGGTCGTGATGGCACACAATACATGTCCACGCACTTCAGATAAGAATCTGGAGAGGATAAAGGGGGTGTGCAGGTCCAAGTTGGTCTCTGTGCTTAGTCCACACATGAACTTCTGCCACACAGGATTTGAGAAAAAAGGTGGGGCAGAAGTTGGGCGCGAGAGGGTACCTGCATGGGGTATGCAGATCCAAGGCAGTCTCTGGCCTCGGTCTTCATACTCATTTCTGCTGTGCAGGAGTGAGGAAGCAATTTCTGTTCTTTTAATAACTCAATTTAGGAAAGTACAAAAAATGGGTAAATATTTAGTACAAATACAATATTACAAACTCATGTAGTAATGAGCATTGATTTTGGAAAGTTGGCTCATTTCCAGTAGATTGTTATTTTCTATCAGGTCATAATTTGTGACAGAAAATACAATCACACGTTTAAAAAAAAATGTTTTTAGACACTAAAGTTAGAAATGATCCATGCTATTGTCCTAACTAGTAATTTGATTGTTTTAGGAGGCTAGATGTAATCAAAATTATATTGGAAATAATTATGATTTGAGGGAATATATTCAGTTGACGAACCTAAAATTCATGGCAGAAGCATTTTGGGGGCTATAAGTAGGATTCATTTATGCATTTTTAAATCAAATACAACATATAAGACTTAACGGTTTTTAAGAACTTGAAGTCATTTCTTTCACAGTAGCATTTAAAAACATGTGACTTAAGAAATGATTTATTAGATGTATTTGATAGAAGCTACTGATAATTTTAGTGTCATGCTAGCAACAATACTGCTTATCCTAACAGCAGAAGCACTGGTTTAGATACTCTCAACTGTAGATGTTCTTAGCAAATATTTACAGAATACCTTTTGAATATTGTTTATTGAATACCTACATGACACTGCTAAATTCTGCTGACTTCTGCAGAGTATCAAAACCATATAGTTCTTGCTCTCAGGACACTTGCAGCCACCTTAGAACAGGCCATAAGAAAAGTCAGAAATAACTACAGAACAGAGATGGTTTCTGTGTCCTTGTAGAGATGCAAAGCTATGGGGATCCATAAGAGAGCTACTATATAGGAGTCTTCAAAAAATTCAAGGAAAAATGGATATTATGATCTGTGCATTGATTTTAAACATGTTTCATATCAAAATAAACTCATACTTTGATTTTTTTCCATGAACTTCTAGATGCCCCCACATACATGGTTATAAAGATCAGGATAAATTTCAGGAAGATGATAATAGGTGGGATGGAAAATAAGCACAATGTTGAAGGTAGACAAAGGGCTAATGCAGGGACCCCAATTAGAAAATGACAAGCAAAAGCCTAAAAGTAGGTAAGTGCAGTTATGTTCAGAGAAAATCAAAGGGCTTGTTTTATTTCCCACAATAAGCTGAAGCAGGGCTGTACTGGGAAAGAGGGCAAGGAGGGTAGAGAAAAAATATTTTGTGGAGAGTCTTAAAAACTTGAGTCAGATCATGGCCATGATAAAATACATAAATACATAAACAGGACCCACTGAGGCTTTTTCACATTGAGGTGATCGAGTTATAACTGTGCTCTATAAAATTTAATTGTTTTGTTAGCAGTGAGAAACTGAAGGTGGGAGATCATTTGGAAAAATGCCCAGGTAAATAGTAGTAAGAGCCCAAATTTAGGATAATGGAAGTAGATTGGTAATAGAGAAAAGGAAGCCAAATCCTTGAATAAAATTATACAGGACTTATCATCCCATGAAAGGTGTATAGGTAAAATGAAAGAGAGGAATCAAAACTGCCTCATTTTACGTGCTCTTCCTCAGGAGAACAGGGGTATCATAAATAGTGGCATTAGAAGAAGTTAGTGCCTTGGGGATTTTGCATAGCAGACATTATAGGAAAAAAGTCTAATAAGCATTTGGAAGTAAAGTTCTAAGGGAGGAGTCCAGGGTTTGAAATGACCTTAGGATTGGCCATGGAGAAGGAAGCTGAATATTCTTAAAATGTTAGTATAATTTTAAAGGTAGCTGTCATTACAGACAGAACTGAATGAAAGGAATATGCTTGGTTTCAAATAGGAGCCAGTTACCAGATACCCATTTTGATTAAAAATGCCTTAAATGGGGACCAGCAGATGGAATAATGGTTAAATCGCTGGACTCTCAGGTAGTCGACCATATTTCAGATTCCAAATACTCACACCAGGTACATGTGAATGTGTGCCCAAAATTCCAAGAGGAGACTGGAGAAGGGATTGTGACATGGCTATACCCTCAGGAGGTGATTTCTTGCTATCTCTGTCTCTGTCTCTCCAGCAAGCACACGTGCCCTATAGCAAAAATCTCTCTTAAAAAAATGCTTTAAATGGATGTTTATTGCAGTTAAAATGGCATTCAAGAAAGATAAAAGCTAAATTTTTGTTGACTAAAACTTTCATATGGGTGTATTTGGGAAAAAATAAAGGTCCATCCTATAGTTAATTTGAAGGTAGAATCAGAGTACTTCTAAATGCATTTTTTAAATGTGTAAAACTGAATAAATACTTTTCTGCCTTCTCTTGAGTTGTAAAGTTGAAGAAAGAGCAGCACCGTCTGCGGAGATGGTGGTAAGGAGGAAGACTACAAAAGCAGCCAGGCTACAAAGGGTCACACAGTCAAAAATTTACTAGGAGGCACCTCAGTTCTGAGAAGTGTGGATTTAGTTAATTGTATTTTTTAAGCCAAAAGGGAAAACTATTAGCATAAACCTATTGTTTTTTTTTTTCAATGAAAAGGAAATAAATATTGAATAGGTTAAGATTTATTTTTGTGCACATTAACTATTTGTTCAAATTTGCACAATAAAAGCAAGCATGATATTTTGTAACTTGAGCAATCTCACATTTTAAATCATTTCAGATGTAAAAGATAATTCCTTCAGCAGATCACGCAGTTCAAGTGTAACCAGCATTGACAAAGAATCCCGAGAAGCGATCTCCGCTCTTCATTTCTGTGAAACTTTTACTCGTAAGGCGGACTTGTCCCCTTCCCCGTGCCTATGGGTTGGAACCACCCTGGGAACAGTGCTTGTCATTGCACTAAACCTTCCCCCAGGGGGGGAACAAAGACTTCTTCAGCCAGTAATTGTGTCTCCAAGTGGTATGTATGCTCTGATGGTACATTTCGTTACATTACAGGTGTCATGTCCTAGGGTTTGGTCAGAAGCCTTTGCTTTTCATCTTGAATTGATCTAAGAATTTTAAGATGTTAAGTAAATGGTGAAAGTGACAATCTTATATTTTTAATGAAGGAAAATTACGAGAATTCATAATATTTGTTTATAGAGCCATTTGGGTTTTGTGTTTTTTAAAACTCTAGGATGATATGTAAAATTTACATTATGTAAAATGTTCTACACACAAAAGGATGTTCTAATTTAAGAGAAAAACAGAAAGGTATATTTTTAAACATCCTAAAGTGGTTATTTTTCATCTATACAGGTGAAATCTGAGATCACTTTTCTTTGAAGTATTAGGAAAAGATGACTTAATAGCAAATTAAAAAAATATTTACAGTCTCTATATGTTGAAAATGAGATTGAATTTTATCAAATATTATATGAAGTCTGTTAGGTCAAGGACTGATAATTGATTTTCATTACTACTCATGCTCTTCTAGTTATATAGAACCATAGACTTGCTTGTTAATGTATCTTTAGTTTCTGTAATACGTTTTTACATGTATTACATTTTTCTTGGAATTCAGAATTAAAACAATTTATGACTTTAATGTTCATTTCTGAATTATCTTCACATTAAATAAGCATTTGATTTATCTGTTTTAACTCATAAATACTTAAGTATATACCATAGGCCTAGTTGTTAAAGAAGATAGGTTATATGATGACAATATTATTAATCTTGTTTCTTATTAGTAAGCAACAAATATGTATGTAAGAATAAAAAAACTGAAAAGATGAAAATCAAAATATTAATAGCATGTTACTGATTTGGGGTCATTTTATTTTATTTATTTTACTGATTTGTAGTTGGTAAATTTCCTACAACATAGACTATTTTTTTTCCAGTACATAAAAGTGGGGTGGGGGGCAACACACGGTGTAGTGGTTATGTCACTGGATTCCCACATGGCCAACTGCAGTTCAAGTCCCAGACCGAGTGACTCGAAACTCACACTAGGTATGTGTGCATGCAAGCCCAAGATCCCTGGAGGAGAATGGAGGAGAAGGCCTTGCAGCATGGCTATCCCCCTGAGGAATGATTTCTCATTTTCCTCTCACTATCTCTGTCTCTCTCTGGTGAGCACACGTGTCCTAAGGCAAACACCTCTAAAAAAATGAGAGAATGAATAAAAATAGATAATTTTCTTTTAACTACCAAAAATATTTATGTTAGTTTCTACTTGCAATAAATCATACTAGCTTTAAAGTTACTTCGATGTAAAAATAATTTTCATACATAAGAAGCACCCTTTTAGTTCTTTCTCTGTGGTTGAATCTTTAGATTTGTTTTTAATAAGATGCTTACTTAAAAATGTATCAATGACACCCATATCATGTTATCTGTATTGGAACAAGCATACTTTTAAATGTTATTTTAGGCCAGTTTTAGAAAATCCAAATGACCATACGTTTGCTGTGAACAGTTCTCAAATTAGCATGAATAATTCTGCTGGCCCCATTGAAAATTTTAAATCAGAAGGGTATCTTTGGGTGGCCCAAATTAAAAAATATGGGATCGTAAAAGAAATTTAGCCACAGAATATTTTGAAGTAAGTAGTGATTAAAATTGTAAGATTATAGTTGTCAAGTGTTTCTCATTCTTCTACCAGATTCTATCCCATTTTCTTATTTTTTTAGTCCTAGTTAAATTACGAATTATCAGTTAGTGATATTTATCTGTTTGGGGCCCATAATGTTGATATATTTTTCCAGACTCATAAATATTATGCTTGATGTTGGAATCTTGATAAATGCTGATAACATAAGTAAGTTTAATTACCTATTTGTCAAATCTGGTCTGTAGATTAGAGTTACTAGATTTAGGAAATGAAAATATAAGTTGCCCAGTCAAATTTTAATTTCAGAAGACAGATACTTTTATAATATAAGTGTGTCCCATGTAGTATTTGGAAAGATAT